TTTTCTTCCGCGCATGCGCAGTTCGGCCGCTTATGATTTTCCAGCCGGTCGACCCTTTCGCCATCTAGCTGCGCGCTCTCGTACTACGTCCTAACGCTTCGTAGCGCCAAACGTCTTCCTTTCAGCTTACGGGCTGTTTTACGCGCGGCATCGTACGATCGGTTAATTTTCAAGCACTGGTTCACCTTCGTGGGATCGGGATTCCGCGAGGAATTACGGGACGCGTGCTCGTTAACGCGAACGCTTAATGTAAACGCAACTACAGGCTGACGCTTTTGTGTAAACGCGAGTGTAACTGTCGGAAGGGAACATGCGCGTGACTGTTGTGGCTGTCTGTGCGAAGTGAGTCGCGTTTGGAAGGTTATCCCGTCTGTGGCTCTAGTCGCATACCGTCTGTCTAGGAAGTACACGCGTATTGGCTGTACGTATATACGTTGCCGGTATGACTTCGTTTGTTCAGATCTGTAGGTGCGACGAGATGAGTTTAACACTTTTTTTTTTCTTTACGCATTATTATTACTGATTTACTGTGTTTTTGCATAAACAAATAGTTGGCAGTTCTAAGAATTGTTTGATGTTTCCCATGTCTTACACGTACTTCTCGTTGACCCTGAAGTCTCTGTCTTATAAAAAAAAAATGTTTCCCCTCTATCTGCATTTTTGTTGTCTTTATGCCAGCCATGTGGGACTCCCGCTGGCGACGGCTGATCATAACCTTTTTCCTTTCGAAAGATCATGATTTATTTACCGCGTATCGCTCTAGCACAACTGCGCCACCGTTTCGGTTCGTTTGGTCGAACTGTCCAGATCTTGACACTAGTCCCAGTGCTCTCTTGGCTAATGGCGCGATGGTTCGTCTTATCTTTATTTCTCTCTTGATTTATAAATAATTAAAGGAAATCCTCGGCGCTACCGAGGCCCGAGATATCGTGTCGATGGTCGTTTGAACTTTTCGCGCCTTTTTCATGTTTACGAAACAAAAATTCAATATGGCGGCTGGTATCCGTGTCGCGTCGATTCTCGATTATCGCAACAGTCATTAATATTGTCGGCACTTACGAAATTTTCCATTAGCTCTCGTCGTTAAACTCGAGTAGCCTTATTCGTGTCTCTCGCCGTGTCCGCGGATCCGATAAATCGTCGTGATCGACGGACATGCTTCACAAATTGGTAGCCATCTTGGAATCACGATATTCAAGTATCGCGTGATACCTTTTTATAGGTTGTACAGCCTGGGGACTGCCGAGGGCTGTGTTTACTGTAATATTAATGTCATTTTATTACGTATTATTTGGCCTAACGTAAAGCCGAGTTCTCACGCGCGATACGATTATATCTCGACGCTCATTGTGCATCGGGCTCCTTGCGAACTTCGAGAACGCGGGGCTCGGCCGACACACTTTAGCCAACGGGCGACCCGCCGTTCGGTTCGCTTCTGTCACTCGGGACTCGTTCCGTGACTCTAGCGATTAGTAAACTCGCACCGCGATTACCGGCAGACGATTATTTGCCCGAACGACGTCACGTTTACGTTTCATTCGGCGTCCGAGCTCGCCGTTTAATTTGACCGGGCAAATCGGCTAACCGTATTTTACGTCATTTCTCGGCATCGATAAATATAAATACCCGAGAGTCGGTTCGTTGAAAACGAAAACCTGCAACTTTCGGATCGTTAATACGCAATAATCTCTTCAGGCTCTATAATAACAATTAACGTTCGGCAAGAGTCGTAAACGAACGCTCCACTTTTCAGGCCAGTGGAAAATGGACGCGCCTACGTTTTTATTGTCAATTTTGTCCTGTAACCTTTATATATGCCTATATACACGTACCCACTGTATCCAGGGCATCCGCAATGGTAATTTCCGTACGAAACTATTCGCTTCGGTTAAAAGCAGTCTTCATTTTTTTTTCCCCCTTCGATCGTCCCGTCTCCCGTACCTTAACCAAAGATGGCTGACGTTTGTCTACGCACCTCAGGAGACATTCCCATTCCGGCTGATCTACTTTGTTCGGCGTAAAAACTTGTTGGCCTGACGTTCCCACCTGACGTACGGATGACGCGGAACCTTAAGCCGGTATCGCGTGTACGCGTACGAGGACGCGTCTCGCTTCCCTTTAGGCTTCGTAGAGTCTCGTTGTAAATGGGTCGGCCATTACGCCATTCCAATGTTTCACGGCAGTGCTTATATTACTATATATATTTCGGAGACTATTTCAATGTATATATATATATATATATAGTTATATCAATTTTTCGTTTAAGAAGATATATAGGCCAGTCGGCCATTGACGGACAGTCGTATCTTCGCGTATGTCAAGACGTGTATATACATATATACCACATATAAATCATAAAGACACCTATCTACTTCTACCACCTGTCTACATATGACTATATCCTTTGAGAATTTCTTGTCTCAGTATCCAGCATCCGACTCGACGTCTTCCCCCCCTCTCTCTCTCCCTCCCCTCTTCTCCCTCCTTACATACCTATACTGGTCCTATGTTAACTGGCTATAGACACCAGTGGCAATTCGACCAGAGAAATCCTCTTCTGCAGATCGGGTACCCGATCGGCTTCCGCTTGGCGATAATCTCACGATTTCAAAGTGTCAGTCCGGATAGTTTATGCTCGAGGGGATTAATGAGTATTATCTTCGCTTTCATCTCGATTACATTAAACTATCTTTCTCCTTTCTTTATTTGTATTCTCCATAAGGGCCCAACGATTCCCCGGATAAAATTTTATCCCTGGCTTCGCGCTGTTATCACGTGCAATTTTTCTTTGGGAAATTTGCCGTGCACGGTTTTGTATCCCCCCCCCCTCTTTTACCGGAAAATCGAAAAAAAATTTTAAAATGTCCTTTTGACATTTTTAACAGGGTCCTCCCGTTGCGGTAAGACGAAAATTTGGCGAGCTCGAGAGTAAATTTTTTTTTTTGGATGCTGCGATCAAAGATTTATCTCGCGAGCGTGTCATTCGTCACGAAGTATACGGGGTCAGGTAGCATTACCTTGGCTGACCAGTAAGCTTAAGACAGTTAATAGCTTTCCGCGTAAATAGGGCGGTGCCCAGTTGCAACTGCAATTGCAACTGCAGTCGAGTCTCGCGCTCTGCCCTGATATTCCTGGTGATAAGAAATGCAGTTGGCACAGCCCCGAGGTTCTTTTCTCTTTGGAGTGAACTTTTTAAACTGTCCTTAAAAAATTCATTATTTTTATTCCCTGCCTCTCTCTCCCGCTCTTACCCATAAGCACGCTCTCTCTCTCTCTCTCTCTCTCTCTCTCTCTCTCTCTCTCTCTCTCTCTGTACCTCATAACGATCCAGCAAACGAGCAGGGCAACTCCGTAAAATAAACTTATACGCGGAACAGCCTCAAAGTCGTGTAACCCCGTTTCCCGTTAATTAGACCCGGTTTCGTTGATTGCACCAGCTGTCGAACGAATTCGCGATTCTCCCATTGGCGCCTATGGGCCCAGGGTATGTAAAGTCGGACCCAGGTAACGGCTCGTCGACGATTTCAATCAGCCGAGGAAGTTGCGAGTGCATCGACGAAGATGAAACGCGAGTGAGATAAAATTTTGTGAAATGGAGTAAACGAGCTACTTAGCCGAGCAGCCCGTGAATGCGGCGCTAAATAGAGTGGAGAAGTAACTGCCGCGTATACCACGTATGTAAAATTGCATATACGTACCTAGCATGTAAATATATGTATAACTTAAGTGTAAACCCGACCCGGACTATTCAGTCCACGTAGATAGGCTACTACTCGCTGTACTTTAACCCGCATGTGCACCGCTAATGTGTACTCGGCCCTCGAGTGTGTGACTTCCATCTCGTTAACCTTGCGCTCGGTCCGGCAAAGTCCTCGAACGTGGACGGGTTTTCATTGAGCGTGGGAAATTCAGGGTCTTTATTAAATTCGTTCGATGCATTTCTTTTGTGCAGTTTATACTACATATATATATATACACTAAATTTCGTATATAACAATAGCATCGGGTATCCGTTATTTGGAATTGTCAATGGTTGAAAATGCACTTTTGTCGACTGTTACCAATTCACGTATATAGTGCCTGTATGCTAATAAGTGCCCTTTGCTATCGTCACGTTGTAAACGAGTTAGCCGAGAATTAACAAGGATACGTCATTTGGGTCTTTTGACGTTTGACAAACAACAGTCGACTGTTTCTTCGTTTTGTCTCTCTCTCTCTGTCTGTCTGTCTGTCTGTCTGTCTCTCTCGCTTTCGTATGGCCGCGTCTTTCAATTAACGGCGGCGATACGTAGCGCGCGGCAGTAGGTTAGACAGAGGGAACAGAGGTGGACGCGGACCGTTCTCGCGTTACGTCTCCGACATCCGATAAACTTGCTCCACTTTTAAGGACCTACCGAGTGCTTTTCCACTAGGATTGAGAACTCGCCTTAAACGTGACACCTCCTCGGTCACCCTATCCCCACGTGGTAAGACAATAGGCTTGCCTGGGAGCACTCGCGGTTCTCTCGCCTGGGCGCACTCCGTTAAAGTCGCGCACGGTCCCGGATCGAGTTTTGGTCTCGGTTATTTTTCTATTGCTTTGATTACCCAATTGTACGATCGCGCTGACTCTCGATTAAAAATTCACCTTGGCATTCGCGCTGTCTTCGCGAATTGAACGTACGGCCGGATGTTTGCGGCGAATCGACGCGACCTCATCGTGCCAATCGGTAACCGGATCGTCATGAGAAAGTTTACGATGACATTACGTAGCGGACGATTGAGAAGTCGATGACGAGGATCAGCCTTTGGGTACGGTCGAGGATTATGTTGGGACAGTGAAAATAAATTTTTTTTACATTTTCTACGTGAATATTACAAATTTTCTTTATCTTCATTCAAAATCCTGTTTTCGACTGTTTTTTTTTATAAGTTACTCAAAATGCTTTTTTGCCTTAAATTCTCACGAGCTTCGCATATATATATCTTATATATATATATATCTTATCACAACGTCCCAGCAACCTGATAAGAATATCAGTATAGGTTCTCGAATCACACGTGTCCGTCAGTACGATATGCAGAACGGAACTATGTAAGTCGAAGTACCATCCGCGTCTATGTGTTATCAAGAATCTTGTCTTCTCGATCGGTTTGAGTCAATTTCTGATAACACCCATTGTCCCTTCGTTCGGACATCTTTCGGCTGTCACTTCGCGAAGTGGTTGCTGAAGTTTTCGAAGTACCGACGAATCGCGTCGATAGCGAAGCTTCATGGAAGATTTGACTACCGCAGCGCAGCTTGAAGTTTGCCATGACTGAAGTTGCCGCTGCTGCTGCCAACTTCACTGAGGACTTCAGGCATAACAAAGCTCGCGGTTGTCTTAACGACGGACGTTGATTTCGATGAAGTCGGACCCGATGGACGTATTGGACCGTGTCGCGCATTGAGAAACAGCGCTTGGTGTCGTCACTGTGTAAACTCGCCTTTGTGTCTTTTTTTTCGGTAAGAGGTGTCGGGTACTACAAGAAGCGGAGGAAGAAGTTGGCAGACCGAAAAGTCATACCTGGTGACTTCTTTTTTTTTTCACATCTTCCACTGGGTCTTCGTCCTTGGTCACCGCTTCAGCAGCGTCGCCATGGTAACGGCTTGGGACTGTTAGGCGCTTTTCAGGCTTCATTGAAAAGCGGCCAGTGAACTGCCGTCGGCTTTGACGTGAAGTTTATCCCGGACTTACTTGGGTGTTCAATGTCCATATGTGTATATGCATATATATATATATATATATATACAGTAACGTGGTCGGATGATCATTCAATCGAAGTGGTGAAAGTGTCAGAATGTGTTCGGAAAAATATAACGGACAACGACGAGTCGTAAGACTCGGTAAAAGCGCTTCGGTCGTTCTCGGCAGTTCTCGTGAATTTTCGTACAAGGTAATCTTCACGTAAATAATTGAAACCGCCCGCGAGTACCAATCGGTGCATTTGCTTGACTTTCCCGTGCATTTCTATCTGTAACCCAGTACGTCTAATCGGTGCTATCAGTCCTTATCGGCTCTTAGCTCCCTATAGATAAAGTAGTCGCTCGTTGAGAACTCTGAATATCGCGCCATATTTGGTAATGCGCATAAGTCGCGTGTATAGTTGAGTCATCATTCATACGATCGCGAGCGTACGCGCACGTGAGGACTCACCTGTATTTTGACATCGAGTCAAGAAAATGTCACAGCGAATACGTTAAAGCTCTTTGTATCATTTTCATCGAGCGAATTCCAGGGTCGTCGATTTAATTTTTTTTTATACCCAACCTTAACTTGAAATCCACGTCGCGATCGGCCATACGTAAATTTCGCGTCGATTGAGCGGCGACGCTTTTGCCACCTAGAAAATATCGCGATGCGTTCGTCGTTCTACGTTTAATTATTTTTGCTACGTCGCCCGGTGAATATTCGCCCGTTTCTTGTAATCGCTTCTCACGCGATACTTGTGACTCGGCCTGATATCGTTTCGTCGCTGCTGCAAATACAAGAGCGAAAATTTATGCATATCCATATACATATATACACGCACGCCTGTACGATTACTAAAGATAATTACGTATTAAAATTTTGCGAAAATTATTATACGCCGCAGTTTCATCGGCAGATGCCAAAATTACGCGGAACACCTTACGGTCTCTCGGATGCAATCTACTCGCTTTCGGTCGGTGCATATCGGTGCAACGTTCTTTCCTTACTTGCATTACGATGCATCCTAGTCCTGTAAACTACGTATGAGTGTGTATATATACGTATATATAGTAATAGTAAACAGTTATATACTTTCTCGATCGTTCTCCATACTTGCTTTTCATCCCATTCGATTTCTTCGCCACGTATGAAATTACCACAGTGCAGTTCGAATGATTCGTGAGAAATGACATTGAAAAAAAAAAAACCTTGAGATCGTACAAATTTTTCTAATTTTTTTTTTTGGTTTTCTACGCGAATCTTAACTCATCGTAAAAAAAAAAAAAAAATGGACACCGTCGACCCTCGACTACCAGCCAGCAGAGCAAAGAGACTCGCGAGGCTAGTTCCACGGGGAATCCCGACGACCAGTCGTGTTTGTAGTGCAGTCTGAGTGCTGGTGCACAACGAGCGTCTGGAGATGTTATCAACGCGTTACTGCGACTGACGCAAGGGAAAGATGCGTCCGTCGCCTCTTGTGCATCCTGCACGTTGCACGGAGAAAGTCGGGTCGATGCGTGGGTAGTCGAAATCTTTTACCCGGCTTGAGAACGAGCGTTTGGAATGATTTTTTTTACCATATTCAAATTGGCATTTTTAAATAGTAATTTTGTCTTTTAAATACAAAGCGTCTTTGGGTGTCTGGTTTTATCTGGAATTCCCTAATGATTTCACTTAATCGAGTATATACACAATACAGAAAAATTAATGTCACTGTAAATCGTTTTCAATGGACTTCGTACACGCGCGATACACGTGTCTCTCCTGCGAATGCAAGTGGGTCGCCGGCATACATCATACACGTGGTCGTGTGGATGAAAAAATAAAATAACTAGATAGGATAAGCGCAGGGCCAGTATGGATTTGTGCGATAGCGATCTGAGAGACCGCCAGACAATACATTACCGGTGTCTCGTAAATCTGGAGCAGGTATAAGACTCGTTTGTTGGCGGGTACGCTTTGGCTGTAATAGGTTAGGTTAGGTTGGACCGTCTGAATAAGTCGGTGCCGGGTTACTACAGGGTGGATTGAAAAAATGAATTTCGCCTTTCATTATCATTTGTAGGTCGAGCCGGGGTCTGGTAGGCGATCGAGGGACGTACTTGAAGTTTTTATATTGAACGCTGAATAATCGACGTGTTTGCACGCATCGAACGACCGCAGCGACGGACCCCTTTGGATACGTCCGAAGTATCATTGGGTTGGCTGCAGTGGGGACTGTTGTCCATTTCGTTAGCGAGAACGTCAAGAAGCTCGGTGAAAGGACGGATAATATTGGCGGGAAGGAAAAGTACGTTTAAATGCAGTTTAAGGACTCCCAGGGCGTGACCCCTGACTAATTAACCGGTTATTGAGGTTAAGTGCGTGAAGTTATCAGGGGCCCGGAAGTGCAATGTCCCGGTTAACATTCGTAACAACAATGCTCGAGCGTAATTACGGCTTTCGCGCGGTTTAACGACTCGCTCGTTTCTTGTCCTCCGTGTGCCGTGCTTTATGGTCGGTGCGACCGAAACGACCTGTAGTCTATTTTCAATTTTTCTTTTCCTCGCTCGCTCGCCGAACGCTGGACTTTCCCTTTTAAGCGTGACGCGACGAAGAAATTGGTTTATTTCAAAATTACGTAAGACTCGTTTGGGGATAGCGGCTGGGTGTAATTGACTCTCTTGATTGGTGTTTTTTTTTTAATCGGCTATCCAGCGTTTTCGACTCTTATGGGACTTCGGTATCGCCGGGGAAGGTAGAAGAAAGCGAAGGAAAGGCAATGGCGGTGACGATTAATGAAACAATAAATTATTCAAATCCTTCGGCAATTAACCGGCGCTTTCATGCGAGAATTACCTGGCAAGTCACTACTGGACTATGTATGTCTTTCGTCTCTATATATGTATTTGGCGAATTAATCTTGCTACTTGGCCAATTAAAATTTTACTTAAAAACGAAAATTCGAATAATTTTACTTAATTCGAAAATTAATTCGAACCGACCGTACGTCCCTTGATATACTTCTTCGCGATAATTTCAGTAAATAGTCTCGCTTTGACCGCACGTGATAACAGAATCGTCGGCATTGACTGCACACGTGTTTTCTCGATTCTATTTTCGGTCTATCCCATGTAACTATACACTCCGTGTTATACATACAGTCAGGCATGTACTTATAATATATCCGTATGCACTCGCGGAGACGAGGATTCCACAATCGCGGTATTAATCTGAAAATTACTGACCCGAATCGGGCCCGGGTTAAGTGAATGTGATAGCGGCTAATTATAGAGGGAATAATGCCGGTACTCGTGGATACGACGTATAGGTATACGAGAAGCGTGCCTGCCCCGTAAAAGGTATTTCTACTTTCGAGGCAACAGTGCCGAGATTAGTCGCTCCATTGGATATTGGTTTCTTGGTTTAATATATTTCTTCGGGGAAAAAAAAAAATAAAAAAATCTCAGAGAAAGGAGCAGGTCTGGTACTACGGAAGTATCTTTGAATGATTATACCCTTTTATGCAATCTATATGTATACCAGGTCGTACATACATATAATTCTGTGTACCACTTCCTCTCGAATTTTTCCACGGTCCCCGGTTACTCAGCGACACGAAAAATCCTGGCGAAGCTGCGCCGAGCTTCTTGGGCTGACGGCTGCCTACGCGATTCCTCTGCTAACTTCACCCGCTGTCACTTTCTTCCGCGTTTCTCATGCAGCGACACGGTACGCACCCACAATGCAGGTGACGGAGGTCTGAGTGTCGAGAGTTGGCGTTACTTTTTTTTTGGTGCATTAAAAAAAAAATTTGGATAACTTTTTTCACAGTCGACCCAGTCACGCTTTATACGCTTCCTGGAAAATGCACCCGAGCAGGAAGACTTCCTTATGCGTTTGTCGCTGGACGGATGCACCGATGTCGCTACGTGCATATTAAACTTATATAATGTACTGAGTACCAGCTGAGCCGCGATGCACTCGTTACCAGATCGTCATCGGTCTGTCAAGAGTCGTCAGCGACCGTCTCGTCACGAGCGTTGTCAAGCCTATCAGACGTCGTCGTCTAGTTGGCAATGCGCGGAGAATCAAGAGCCGTCCCCATGCACTTGGCTGCGTACGCCAAATAAAGGCCGTACTTCGGTGCGCGACCAAAGTGGCTATATCGTTTACATTTTCCAGCAGTTAACCGACCTGCTCGTTAAACTTGCCTACCTTCGAGTAATTAATCCTGCGAATAAAAATATATTGTCCATCGCAATGCCGGCCGCCATGATAATTTACTCATTGTTTCAGGCCGTCAAGCTGGAGTCGGTGCATCCGGGAAGAACGCGGTATCTGGTGGTGGTGTCCTGTACCGGGCGTCAGGATGCCGAGGAGAGCTGCCTCCTGGGTATAGACTGTCACGCCAGGGCGACCGTCGGTCTGGTCCTTCGAGTTTTGGCAGACACGGCGATCAGGCTCGATGGCGATGGGTGAGTTTTCATCGCGCGACCGTTTTATTCTTTTTGCCATATCGATTCGCGTGGATCGATGTATGTGTATACTGAGAGTGACGGGACGAATGTTGGGCCGATGTATTCGGTTTCAGGAGCTTCCGGGTTTTCTCCGGGTGTATTGGTATATCCGTAGAGCTGATATATCTGATATACTTTTTACGAGATATATTTATATGTATAAATTATGGAGAAACGGGGAAGCTTTAGAATGTCCCGAGCAGGATGCGACCGATTAATTCGATCGTCTGTTATAAAAAAAAGAAATCGATCAATTACGCGTCGGATAGGTTACGTAAGGCCAACGTATTAAAGCCGTGTTTTTAAAATACGACGCTAGGTATCCCCCTCGAGCGATTGCGACAGTCGACGCAATTGCGGGTAGAGCGTCAACGAAATTGCCAGCCCAGTGGCCAACGGGTAATAATATTTAGTTATTACGTGCTCGGTTTTCCGCAGTTGCTCGTGTTCCAAGGATTTCTCGGTGTCAATTTGTTGTTTCGAAGCTATTTGAATTTCACGGCGTATAACTGCCACGATGCGCGCGCAGGTCTCGCGCGTCTCCTTTGTGCCGCGCGGATTGGTATGTTTTTTTGCTTCAACGAGGCTACGGCCGACAACGATTCTGATTGTTGTTACCTGTACTATCGGGTGTAGCAGGGATAAAGTAAAAATTGTGCCACGGTCGCTCGTAAAGAAAAGCCTAAGGTATCGCCGGGCAGTGGCGGAGAGTTCGCGTTCCGTGGATGTCAACGACCCGCTTGGCTTTCTTCCGTTCCTCGGGCCAGACGCACAGCGTCGCAACTGCGTACCTAGGTATTTAAACGGGACGCCTGTGCGACAACGCCGACTCTGGGACGCCCTATAGATGCCGTATAGATTATACCGGGTGTAACTAACCTTCAAGCGAACTTCCTTGCCACACCAATCACGCAGACGTCCTTCCTGTCAACTGGCGGTTTTCACTCGGCGGCCATATTGAAAAGCCAGCGGACGACGTAGCGTCACGAGAGCCAAGCACGAGCCCGCGTAAAATCTTTCGACTTTAAAATGGCCGATCGTAAAATTACGCTGGATTTTGTTTTTATTCGCGCTCACGAGATGTCAACCTTGTCATTGACTCTCTCGCTTAACGGTCCAGCCGATATTATTCGCACGTGAAAAAAAATTATTCTTCGACGCCATATTTAGTTTTCTCGACGACCATCGCCGATATCTCGGATTAGAGCCTTTTCACGAAATATCACGTAGAAACGGACCCTGTTCTTTTACGCGGTTCTGTAATTCTTGTCTCTTCACTCGGTTTAATATCTGTGACGCTTCGCAACGACGCGACCTCGTTAATTCACTGCGGTTTCGCGGGCACGTCAGCTTCACGGAAAGATCGCGATGCACGCCAATTGGAAATCCACCTGGTCAATGGCGACTCGCCTCGCTGCATAATTACCGGTTAACTGCATACAAGGTGTCGTAATCGTTCACGTTCCCGTTGCAACTTAACTGTCTGTACTTCGCGCCTACATCCAACGTTCGCTCGATACCTGAAAACGGTACGTCGACAAATGCACGTAAATATTTAAATTAAAAAAATTTTAATTCAACATTGCAAAAAAAATAATAATTTTTTTTTCTTTTTCCCTTCTGTCCCACAGTGGATTCAGCGTGAGCGTATGCGGTCGTCAACACATATTCAAACCCGTCTCCGTTCAGGCTATGTGGTAAGTTCCCATGAGTAATATTATTTATAAGTAAAAAAAAAAAATATAGTCCCGTAATGAATGAAGGGCTACAGGGGTATTATACGTATAGACTCAATTAATACGTAATTTATCTTGCTTCCTCATTGGCTCAATCTGTTCCGGCACGTACAATGATGAATTGCTAAATAATTTGAGGAATAATGGCCCCTCTTACACGGCTACGAGCACGCGTGAGAGTGACTACGTACGCTTTTCGAGTTTTTCAATAATAATATATAAGCCCGATTGTGCAAATCGGGCTTTATTGTATAACGAACTAATAACCGTGTCTGATAGTTAATACCGTGCAATTATAACGGGTGGTCCCTTACACCTACGCCATGCTGTTACCATATGGTGCATATGAATATATACATATATACAGGTATACATCATAACACGTGTACAATTTAGACTCTATAAGAATCTCTCGATGGACACGTGTAGACGTATATGCGTGCGGGGATATACGTGGGTGAGGATCGACTGGGCGTAGCTTTTCCAAAAAATGATCGAAACTTAAGTACAGGTGACGGAAGAAATATGAACCCGTGTATTAAACTTCTAGAACGAAGGTCTAACCTCGTGGTGACCTTATGCGTCACGCATGATTTTTTTCAATAGATATTTTAATAAAATTCAACATCCTTCGAGCCGTTTGTCCTTATTACGATTTTTTTTTGTAATTTTTGATTTTTAATGTATACGTATGTACGTAAATTTTTTAAAATTGACTATCGCCAAATTTAGCAGTACCAGTTCTCGCACACGTGTTTCCATTATCTCGACTGTCGGCTATCCGATTTCACGTGGTCGCTCGCGAATCCTCACGTGGGCGATTAGACTTAATTAGTCATCCTGACCGATTGTCTAGCGATCCTCCTGCTACTCTCGCCCAGCCTCTTCCGGCCGTCGATAAACTCTTTTTTTTTCCTTTCCTTCTTCTTGTTCGTCTTGCGAGGTGAAAACCTTCTTCCCACGTGCGAGCATATTAACTTACAATTACCATTGATTCGGTTTGCCCAGATCAGCTCTCTGGATCCAGGATGACTAAGCTGCAGCATCCGCGTTGCAGCTCTGTCATCTCGTTTAACCAGGTTACGTTTATAGGCTCTCGAGAAATATGACGGTTTCTTCTTCTTTTGAAATCACTCTTTCGAGAGTCTCCATTTAGTCGCTTTCTTTATAGTCACTATATATATATTTTTTTTTTATTAATTTGGTACACGTGACTCACGTTTTTCTCAATTACCTACGTTCGAGATATATTCTTCAGATTCGTCAACTCGCTTGTCTTTTATTCTTGACTTTTCTTTTTTTTTTTTGCTCGGCAATATAGATTTTAGTACTTTTCCAGTAGTCACCCTATATATGTAGACAGTGAAATTGACGATTGCCTCGGAATTCCTCAGTATCCAGCCTGGCCTAGTCAGCCGGAGTGGAGCCCGAGTCTCGGCGGTACAAAGAAAAGAGAGAAATAAAAAAAAAAGATAAAGAAAGTAAGAGAGTGCATAATGAATTCTCGAAGATCGTAGGAGGAATCGAGGAACTGCGCCACCCACATGTGTATCGCCGGCCCTGACCGGTCTCGTACGTTGTCGAAGTCCGAGGTCTCTTCTGTGCTTTGGCAGAGCCAGTACACGACGCCTAACTTGGCGTCGGGACGCAAGCGTCGCTCTCATACAGCCCCACAGTCCTCGTAAATCCATACGGATAAGACGCTCGGTACGATAGAGCCAAAATTTATACCACAGGATCATCAGACCTGTCAACCTTATAAAAATGATATATACAAACAATTAAAAAGTAATTAAGCCTTATCAATGAAATTAGTAAATGGAATCGTGACACGCGTCCTCCGCGAGGTGTATCGACGCGGTGCCGTGAGCGTCGTTTTCTATTCTTAGCGACGCCTCGTGGTCTCCCGACCTCCGTCGGTACTGTAGTGGGGTGCAAGCGTGGACCAACGCCCGCGCCATTTATGGACGCGTCGCGACGCTTGCCCATTGCCAAACTTTTCGTACGAAAAGCTATGGACGTTACGTAGTATTAAAAAAAAATTTATTACTAATACAGGAAAAATTTTATAAAATTATTTTTTGCAAATAGACGTATTTCACGGAACGCGGTATCGCTATTTTGCACGCAGATCGACTTTCGACTGAGAAACGCGGGTAGTTTAAAAAATTTTTTTCAAATTTTTTATCACGTTAAAATGGCCCATCGCAAAAAATTGCGAAGGTCGGCACGTCCGATAAAGGCAATGGAAATTTTTGGCTGTCGCAAAAATTTCACGAGTTGCTAAAAATTTCTGGGCTTCGTATGTGGAACACGTATGCTGTTACCGTATAGGTATATACGGTATGTGGATATACAAAAGTTCTCGTAATTACGTTGCCGTACGTAGTGGGTGGCTTGTCTTGCCATAGACACGACCTACCTATTTGATTAAAGAACATACACTCCGTTCGCCATAACTTCCCGTCATTCATAATATTCCCAAGCACGTGTGGCTAATGAAAGATAATTAAGAAAAATTTTACTGATTAACGTATTCGCTAAATGACCCTTATAGATAACAAAGATTAGCATAGGCGATACCCATGTCTTTCCACACCTTGACACAAAACTTAAGGCCTGTCGTTGTCCGTATAGTCTGATCTCGTTAACGTGCTAATTGGTCCACGTGGATCCTAACGAGTGGACTGTCTTAATTAATGCGCATAACCCAATTAAACGTGCACGGCATTACCAAAATTGGAAATATCGATGCCAATATTATTTTACCGATCTGAAATTACGTGTCAGGAAATACAACTTTTTTTTCTGTACCGAAACACTCGTATCTAACGGGTGAGTCTTGCAATTAGGAAATTGGGAATAATTGAGAATGAGATATAGTGTTTGGTGGGAAATGTGAACATTTTTTTTATATTGACCAATATCGATTGAACGTGCCTTCGATATAACCTGTGGCCCACATACGCGATACATATGTGTATGAAGTTATCGCGAAGGTAATCATTCGATGGATGGTAGTTGACTCGCGTATTGCTCTAATTAGAAAGAGTAATTAATACGAGCTTTTTACATACCGGTAATTACACACTGAGGGACATGTATGGACAATTGGCAAAGTGGCAGAAGGACTCGGGCGTGTCCGGTCGTTGGGATGAAAAAAAAATGTAACCAGTGGTAATCAGATATTAATGTCGTGACCTTTGACCCTCGACCGACGAAATTAAATCTTCTTATTCGTAATGCATTTTTCGTATGAAAAATTCCCCGGTGTGTCTTATCGGAAATTTGCCGGACCTGAACCACGTGGATTCGGGAGATTCATCTTATCAGCTCGGACAGATTTGATATTTAGTATGTTTTATGGCTACCATAAACTACGGGAGGTTGCAGATGGCAGGCGTAGGAGCTCCGAGGCGTGGGTATCTGATAGTGGAATCTTGTTTGCTCTCGGACGATATCGATATCGCCATCTTGGATTTATCGATAGGGGTCATCTTGGAGGATCGTAAGATATCGTATGACGGTCAGGGATAATAACTATAGCGATGCTATAACTAGGGTCAATTGTATGATTTTATCTTGGACCCGCAGTGGGATGCTGTGCCGTACCAATTGAGAAAGGGATAATAACCGTGTTGGTTGGTAATGAAAAATTTGTTTATTTCTTTTATTATTTCTTTCAAAATTTACCATTGCAAGATTTTACAGCATCCCCATGCTTGGGACCACGGGTACGTGAATGAGATTGACCGCCTGATCCCGTTGTCAAGGTTAGGCACTTGCATTGTCCCAGGAGCTGGAACGTCTCCTGCCTTATAGGGATAAGAATGTCCAGCCTCAGGATTCCTCTCATTCATCAGAGAATCGAGATCGACTTGGGTCCACTGTATCTCATTGAATTTGTAAACGCTGTGGGACTGGACGTTCGTTCAGTGGAAAAAAAATGCCAATCAAGGATAGACAGCAGGTATACAGGAAATAAAAAATATTTAGTTTGCATAAATTCCATAGGAATTTTTTTCCAGTATATATACATATATACAGTCGAGTATGACGATTGTCACTTTTGAGGAGTCTTATGAAAAGAAAAAAAGAAACGAATAATAATTTTAATGATTAATTATGAATTATTTTTTATTCCCTGTTCTAAGCGTATTCTCGATTAGGCAATGTGTCAGGAAAAAAAAAGTAACTCTCAGGACACCTGTTGCTTCTTAACAAAACTGGCCGTCGTAATAAGTCACTCGGTAGATACAAGTAACAGTTACAGGTAGGTTGGTCCAGCGTCTCTTACGTAGGTTGGTATACCCATGATACCTGTTGGTCGGTGCTCCATTCGTTAAGCCCATCTGTCAATTACCAAGAGGATAATCTCACGGAGATGAGAGGTACAGTCGCCCCTGAGCAAACGCGCTACACCGGCTTATAACTTGCGAGACGCCACCAGGATTCCTAATATGGGATCCCCTGGGGAGCAAACGCTCCATAACAGGCTGTATTTCGTCGTCCTGGCGTTCGTCGTCGGCGACCTGTCTCGCAGTCCACGCCACTTGCCGGGCTCTCGGGTACGATCGGGTATCTCGAGTGGAAAATGCACTTGGCTGTTGCACTGTGTAACGATGCAATTTTACTCGAGGCCTTCACCCGGTGCAAAATGCACTGTGGTTTACCCGTGAAGACGAAAAAAAATGTCACCATTTCTCGTACCTAGTGACATTTTTTTTGTATTACCCATAAATTCGCGTGGAGTAATTTGTATTTAAGATATTTGGGAGAAAAAATGGGAAACCTTCGAGAGCACCTGAAACGGATTCAAAAGGGCGTCTCGGTCGATAAGTAGATTTCTGTCAGTACCGACATATGCGCTATACGGGTCTGCATAGGTTTGCCGGGCATTGCTTTGGGATGCCAGAGTGGCAGATTGGGTCTGTCGTTGCGTTAATTAACGCTGTTAATTA